TTACAATTTCAGAGTTTCTCAAGAATTCTAGTGCTTCATCCCTGCAAGAAAAATACACCATTATATTAAGCCAATGTATTATAAATTTTCAATCCCATCTTAAAAAGAATGATATGAAGGGGAGCCTTGGCGTAACTAGTAAAGTTGCTGACATGTGACCAGGGAGGTCACGGGTTCGAGCCGTGCAAATAGCCTCTTGCAGAAATGCAGGGTAAGGCTGCATACAATAGACCCTTGTGGTCCGGCCCTTCCCCGGATCCCGCGCATAGCGGGAGTTTAGTGCACCGAGCTGCCATTCTTTTAAAAAGAATGATATCTTTTTATATTTAAAAATAATTTAATTTTAAACTTTCTATTATACCCTTAATGGGATGGTTTATATACATATAAATATGCATGACCTATTTTAGACTAGAAGTTTTAAAAGTTTTTCGTTCTTTTTTAAACTCTGTGCCTAATCAAACACCATCACATAAATGTATCTTTTTAAATCTTCAACTCTACTTTTTCTTAGTAGTCGTTTGGACATAAAATTGTGAATTTTGAAAAAAAATTGTATTTGGAGTTACGTTGAAAAATAATATTTAAAATTTGAAATTAGGTTTGGACATACAATTCACTCGAAAAAATATTATAGTTTTGTGAGTGAGGAAAATTTTTTTACGAAAAATTTAAAAAAGTGGTCAAAATAACTTTTTGATTTTTGAAAAACTCATTCTCGAAAAATCTCCAAAAAATTGCAAAATTTATGGACAGACACGTTTTGGGAAAAAAATCGGAAAAAAAAAAAAAGAAAAAATATTTATCAACAATCGGGTCCTTATATTTTTCTTTAACCTCAAGAAACTTCAAATTAACTGCAGCATTTTATCTTTGTATGAAAAGTGATTTTCATTTAAACATGAGTACTCAATTGCTGGTAAAGTTATTATGCGAGTACTTTATTGACTAGAGGGGAGGCAGAAGATAATTTTCCAATGCAAATGATGCCTAATATGACTTGTACAGTTAGTCTAGTCAACTTGTCCAAGTCAAAGTACTGACTTTATACTGTATGTAAATAAGCAGACCTGAATAAAGAGAAAACAAATTCGTATAGTCGGACATGAAAAACCTTAGTGCTGTTTTTACTAATTTTACGCAAAATGTAGAAAAGTAATTAAAGACTTCTAAAATTATTTGTGGTATTAAATATGTCATGCAATATATTTTTATTTCTATAAAATGCTATTAAAGATAAAATAAGAATTCAAAGTAAGTTGTTTCGAAATGGTATCACATGACACTGCTTTGTCCGAAAAGTTTATGAAATATATGTAGTAATACTGTACGGATATAATAAAATAAAAGAAATGATATCAATTGACCTCTTCTAACTTAAGACTCAACAAAACCAACGGAATAAAGTTATTTCTTGTTAGATAATTTGATAATTTAATATTATTTACTATAAAATCAAGTCATTAAGACTAAAATGAGAATTTAAAGTAAGTTGTTTCTAAATACTAGGGTATATTTTTTCTGGAATGGACTAATTAAGAAGAAAAATCGTCACATAATATAGAACAAAGGTAGCGGTATAATTGTTATATATATACAAATTGAGATTTTTGTACTATCGGTATATAGAGTTTAACATGTATGCGATGGTAAATATTTTGTTATTTTATTATCAATTTACATATAATTATCTTACAAGTGACCAACTAACTGTGTAAATATTTCTTTTACGCTATCAATGCATATAATTTAAATTCTTCATATGTAAATATATATTTTTACTCTATCAATACATATAATTTAAATTCTACGTTATTTTATACGAACCTGCAAGCAGAAGGCCAAAGGGCAGCAGATTCCTCATCAGAAACATAGAAAAGACTAAGATAATCTTTCCATTCCAAAGCCTTTTCAGCTTGAGGAGTAAAACTTGTTCCATATCTTACGTTATTTGTTGTTGAATTTTCCTTAGAATGCTTATTCTTCTCCTCCGCAGACTGTCTGAAAAAACGATAAGTCGCAGCCTTAACAGTGTCAAGAACTTCAAGGGGAATTCCATGATTTATAATCTGGAAAAATCCCCATTTTTCAGCTGCATCACATATTTTTTCACAAATTATAGGATTATTATCGTCCCAATTGGACATATGGATAATCGGAATAGAATCATCGACGATAATTGTACTAGTAGTAATTCGTTCTTGAAGTGGTTGAATATATTGTTTTGGTAGGGTTTTAAGTCCTAATTCTGATAAACCCTTTACTCCATTGCCTTCATTTAATACAAATTCTGTAATGTTGTTGGAAACATTTGAGGACAATGTAGTAGGCATTTTGTGGTTTAAGAGTAAATCAAGAAAAAAAGTAGGGTTTTTAAATGGTATGGGTAATTCAAAGTTTGGCAATTTGATGATTTATTCGTTTAGATTTACATGTATTTATAGGCCAAAATTTGATGCTAATACGTACCATGATATGAAAGTCTTTGAAGACCAAAAAATTGTATGGTCAGCTAAATCATGCGGCGAATTAAAGTGATTGGTATATGTACAAAGTTTTTACTGTTTTACTAGTTGTTCAATTTTCTCACGTTTGGAGAAAAAAGTTTCAACCTTGTAATGAGTCAAATATCAAGTTGTTATTAGGTTTAATTGCACTTTAAGTTTGGAGAAAATGACACTATATAGTCGTTGTAAAAATAACAGCCGAAAAATATATAAAATTTGTATATTTTGTATGTTATATATAAAATTTATATAAATTTTATACACTTTTTCAGCTACCAGATATAAATAGTTTATGGCGTGGGCTAAAAATAATAATACCCCATGCTTATAATTTGTAGCTCATTAGGTCAAAGTTTTTGGAAAAGGGCATAAACTATATATATATATATATATATATATATATATATATATTCCTATTATTTATTAAATGGTTTTATAAATATCCTTTGTCCATCTATCTAACCGAAAATATTAATTCTATTTACAAAAATACCCCATGTCTAAGACAAAATTGGTGAGCCTTTTTTATTTAATTTCTACCCATTTTCATGAAAGTAGTACTTATTTAATTTGGAGAGTTAAAAGGCGTGTGATATGAACCATTGTAGAAGCAGTTAACCGGCATGTCTTACATTCTTCTTTCTTCTCCATCTCTGTGAGATACGCAATTAAATCAGATTTAAGAAAAACGAAATAAAGTTTCTCATAAATATTTAAATTTCTGCCAAACCCAAACCGTGTTTTCTCCAATATAACCAAAAGGACTTTCAAATGACTTTCTCGAAATACTAAACCGTTGGATTCACCCTTGACATATTCTAATACTCCTTTTGGTCCATAATAAGTGACCAATTTATTTTTTTATTTTGGTCCAAAATAAATATCCATTTATATAATCAAGAAAAAATTCAATTTATTTTTCTAAAATTACCCTTATGTACGTATCCATAAAAAGTTTTTTTACTTCTCACATTAACTATGATGCAATATTTAATTAAGGGTAGTTTAGTCACACTAACTATTTTTGTCTAAAATTTTGTATTTCCTTAATGGGTGTGTCCAAAATAAATTGGTCACTTATTGTGGACCGGAGGGAGTAAAACATTTAAGTTATATATATTGTTAGTGTAAAATATTCTTTACGCAAATATCTAAGATAAGCTACCTTTAATTGTGGGATTTAAAATATTAAAAATAAGACATATTTACTGCTCTAACAAATAAAGGATACATAATGGTGTAAAAATTCCTTACACTAACAGTGGGTATAACTTAAACTTTTACAAATATCTTCAATATATACATTAAAGAATGACTAATTACTAATTTCTAATTTTTACCATATTAATTAATCTGTTATAATTTTTTATTGTTTAACAAAGCTTTCAGGGAAGCAAAATAATGCTAACTAATTAAAGCAGAAAAGATAAATATTGAAACAAAAGCCGCCATTAATGTCCAAAGACCATCTCCAACCCAACGCTATTTTTGAAGCCAAACACTATTTTAGTGTAAGATTTGGTATTTTGGTGCTCCAATCCAATACTATTTCTTACACCATACCAAATTTGGTGTAACACTATTCATCAACACCATTACTATTTATCAATATTTTATTATTATCTTTTATTACATAACACTTTTAATTTAACATATTATAAATTTTATAATTACTTATACTTTTTATGTAATATCTTTATAATATTAATTTTATATTTTACTTTTGGTATATAATTTTTATAAATTAATTTTGGTATATTTTATTTTTAAATAAAATTATAAGTTAATTTCATTATAAGTTCTAATTGTATAAAAATACATAACCATCAAAAAAATGAAAAGTGCAAATCTAAAATATAATATGTTGTTAATAAATAACACAATGTTCATTAAATAACATAAACATAAATATTTAATACAATAGCAACTTATATTAAGTGGTTATATAAGAAAGAAATATGAATTATATGGGATGAATATGTAAAAAAAAAAAAAAGAAAAAAAAAAGAAGAAAGGATTTGTTTTATAAAATAAAAAAAATAAATTTAAATAAAATAAAATAAAATAATATAGAAGAGAGTGAAGAATATAAAAGGAATATTCTTTTTTGGTGTAAAAAATAGTGTAATAGGTTGAAGTTAATTTGTACCATTTTGGTGTACAAATATGGTGCAAGGGTTGAAGATGCCCTAAGTGAAAGCAAGAAGGGACATACCTAGTTGATACATGTTATTTATATATGCTCAACTCTATCTAAATTTTTTTAAAACTATTTATTTTATCCTTAATAATATATATTTATAGCTATAGAAATGTCATGACATGTTATACACAAAAGCCCAAGGGCACTTTTTTTTTTTTTTTTNCCGAATATCATTAAGAATATCTTAACATTTTTTATTTCTGTGTGTTTTTTTTTAAATAATGGAAGGTAATATATGAATAAGAACAGATAGCATTCTGCTAGAGAGAGAGGGCGCTAGCCCGGGTACATAAGTATAAGGTCCACCAGTGCACACAATTATTCTGTTATTATCTCCTGCCCGTTTAACTACTCCTCGAGACATTTCTGCTGATGGGCCCTTGAATTATAGCAGGAGCAACCTCAATTGCCGTACCCAGGCGCTTGGCCAAGCTTCTCAAGAGATTAGAAACACTTTTTTTTTTTCAAAAGTATTTTTTTTTCCTAACTTGAGGTGTTCGATCAAGCTTTTTTGGGAGAAAAAATACTTTTGGGAAGAAGCAGAAGTAGTTTCTGAAAAGCAGAAAAAAATAGTTTTTTCCCAAAAGCAGAAGCAGAAGCAGTTTTGACTTTTCTTCTTATCAAGAATACCATTAACAAAATATAGTATATACCAAAATAACCGTTAAACCTAATACTTAGGATATTAATGTATACATATTTCTTATTATTTTTAGGATATCTTTCTAATATATAATGATTTTAGGGGTGAATGCTTTTATATTTGTTGAATAATTTTTAATATATTTAATTTATATTAAAAGAATGAAGTTTGTTTTTTTTTAAAAAATCTGATTTAGTTTTGTATCTCACAGAGATGGAAAAGAAAGAAGAATGTAAAACTATGCCTGCCTCAATTTATGCTACACTTTTTTACTTTTTGAGACTCAAATTTCTTAATTTTAAACCTTATATTTGGACATAAATTTTTAAGTTTTTCAAAATAAAATTTATATATTTAAAAACTACATAAAAAGTACTATAACTCATAATAGTTTATAGCTTAATATATTTAAAAAGCATATGAAAAAATTACTGTAAAAAAGTAATTCGTTACTCTCAAAATCCGAATATCTTCACATAATTAATTGGGACGAAGTGACGACTTTTGTACTGTTTAACAAAGCCATCTGGAAAGGCAAAATAATGCTAACTAATTAAAGCATAAAAGATAAATATTGAAACAAAAACCGCCATTAATGTCCTAAGTGAAAGCTAGAAGGGGAATACGTAGTTGATATATGTTATGTATATATGCTCAACTCTATCTGATTTTTTTTAACTTTAAATTATTTAGTTTATCCTTAATAACATACCTTTATAGCTATAGAAATATCATGACATGTTACGACAAGTCCAAAGTCACTTTTGATATATGCCAAAAATCTTCTTTCTTCTTAAGCTCTATAATCAATTAATTAAATACCGCCACATAAAATGAACGAGAGGAAGTACTAGTGAGACAATATTAAATGTAAGCGGTTAGTTTTTAACCAAGGTTAGCATTTAGCAAGCAAGGTTGTTAAACTTAATTATTAATTAATTATAAAGTCATTAATTAATAATAAAGTTAACTATTTATAAAGTCGTGCATCTCATTAATGCTTAGCATCGCCATTTTAACCAGCATAAGGTGGAAACCATGTCTGCAAAAATAAAAGGAGGAGGAATACTAGACTTATTTCTGTAAGTGCTAATTAGTCGAGTCCCAATGCGAATATCATATACTGGGTGAGAAATAAGAAGAAGAAAAAAACTGAAAATCGACTGCAATTAAACAATATTACTATTATAATGATATTGCCGCGGACTTTACATTTGAAAGTTTAACCATTGGAGTTAGGTCACATTTAGCAAATTATATACATTGTACCTATCAAATAATCATATAGGAAAGATTCCAATATCTTGTTCAACGTGGAAAATTTGTCTGATTATTGTGTAGGCTTTACCACTTTCACTAATGTAATTTTGCTTGATTATTGGTCTTTTTCTCTCTTTTTATCGAACAATCAAAAGTCTACTTCAACGTGGAATATTCAACGGCAGGATAAATATAAATATAAATTTCTTTTTATATACTAATAATTCCTTATCTTAGAAGTTCAAAAAAATGGGTTTATAGTGGACAAATAGCTGTCTAAATATTATTGAAATATAATAAGCAAAATTTATATTGACAAAATACGAGAGATATATTGTGAATTTAAGAAAGCATGATCATAGACTTTAATGATGTGTTTTAAAATTATTAGGGTTAATTAGGCCTGAAGTGAACAATGTGTATCACTAATGGAGTTATTGTTACACTATTCTATGTGTAATTTAAGTAATGATGGGATAAATTTCAAAGAAGGATATGTATATAACACCATTGACAAATTTCACAATGACAACCCGAGAGAGTATTTAAGAAAGCAATAAACCCTACTGATGCATTTTAAATTGTGAACGCATAGATCCAAAATGTACAATATCATAAATGATTTGACGTCTTACACTATTTTTGTTTTGATAACCGTGGTATTCGGGTCAGCTTGCGTGCACCTCGACTAATTCCACGGGATACCTGCCACCTCCCACCAGCAACAGGTAACAAGTAACTCTATCCACCAAGGCTTGTATAGATGAGAAACAATCACCTAGTATTTGTC